TCCGTTGGTGCACGAGTTGAAAGTACCGTCCATCGGTAGGCTGGAGTATGTTGATCTTCTGACTAAAATATCTCGGAAAATATTTTTCACTGGAGGATGAACATTGGTGGCAAGAGAGAATAGGTATTTATCGAAAGCTGTACGGAGTTTGATGTCCATTGGATTAATTTTAGGTGTCTTAGAGGCCGTAGTTTAGAGCCGGTTGGCAAATTTCGATCGCTGACTTACCTCCCTTGTCTATTTTTATGTATGAGGGGGGAAAAATATTAAAATGGCTTTAAAAATCAATCTTTATTCATAAAACTATTTATAATAATTAAAGAAAAAAGAAAAGAAAAAGAAAGTCTTGAAAAGTCTCAAGAAACGAAGTAGAAAAAAATTACGGCTTCATGAGGGCTCGAACCGCGAACCCCGTAATTAATACTTTGACACCGCCGTGAAAACAACACAACTGTTGAGCCTGGGCCCCCTGTGTAGATGCTCTTAGAACTCAGGCTACCTCATGATTTTCGAAAATTGAGAAAATAGAGTATATTAATGCAATTATAACTCGTATTCTCTTGCACGAAAAGAGAAATCAACAGGGCTTTTAAAAAGTCAAGGACATGTTCATGAAAATGCATGTCGTTTTCCAAGGAAACCCTGGAACTGGCAAAACCACTTTTGCAAGAATTAATCAAAGCTATATTGAATTTATAGTATTTGTGTTGTTGCCTTCCAATTTCGCCCTTTCAATACAACCAACACTACGGAGCACGACGTTTTAGTTGTTTCAATGAAAACGTCGAATAAGATAGATATTTAATAAAGCATCATTCTGCAAATAGACATATATCTGTATTAAAAACAGAAGCAAACTCAATTGCAAACTAAGATCAGACTATCAAGCGATCTTAGATGAAAACTTGGGATCTATTTCAGAAAAGGTCTATACTCGGAACCTTTACGCAAAGTTGGAGTGCCCTAGTACCATTGGTGGTCGAGGGTCKAGATATAATGTCTAGAAATTTCCGCCAAAGGTAGGACCCCTTTTGTTATGTACTCTCTCAAGACTCTCAAATCCTTGTAAAAATGACTGGGTTCATGAATTAAGTCACAAGTATTTGGGTCTAGATTCGAAAGTGATATGACAATACTTTAAAAAAAATACTCTCAGTTGTGTGTAAGATTTAGTTTAACTTTGTCATATGATTATTCTTTAGTGCTTCTATCTCCACCAAGAATCAAGAGAAAGAAGGCAGTCGAGGTGCAGAGACAGAGGAGATCTAGTACTAGTCCATTACATGGGTTCTATACGTAGGCAAATATGTGCCAGCGTTATAAAGTCTGGAAGGGGAGATGTGTTATTCATTGACGAGGCGTATAGTTTGCCATCCCGTAACGAAACAGACTACGGCCGCATTACCACCGAACAACTTATATCTACTATGAAAATGATAGCATTCGTGAATGTTGGAATCCGTTACTGTTTAGCGGGCGTTGATGCACACTCAATTTATCCACTGTAGAGTCACATAAAACGGCGCGCGTGTCTCTGTCCTCTGATATAAACACGGTGGGAGTTCGAAAAACACGAGAGAAGCAAGCTTAGGAACACGATCGTAGCGAGTGTTTCTCTTGCTTCTCGAAAATTTTGCCGGTAAGCCGTGTCTCTGTCCTCTGATATAAACACGGTCGTCAGCCAATCAGAGCGCGCGTTATGTATCAAAAATTTTATAATTGTGTATATATCGACACGAACATAATGTTCGGGCTAAAAGAATGTTTCAGTGAGTTAGGAGGGGTAAAAGAGTGTGTGGCAATAAAGCCTTTTAGCGATCTCTTTTACGCTGTGTTAGCCACAAAACCATGTAATAAATTCTTTTATTCACAACAGCACGTGCAAGTGCAAGAGATCTGTGAGTGTAGAAGACAATGGAAATAATTTGAAATGATCAAAAATGAGTTTTATCTACATTTCTGAATATTTTAGCACACAATTGAGGCTAACGCAGCGTAAAAGAGATTGCGAAACTCAACTATTGTACACGTGTTTGTCTGCAAAGTTAGAATGCATTCAAAAATATATTTTTTTTAAACTAATCACGGAGAGGGAATATGATCTGGGAATCTTTTCCCAGGAAACCCCTGACGACCTTTGCAGGAAGGAAAATCCCAAATATATTTATCTCTTTTAAAAATACCCAGGTGCTCAACCCACATAAGGGAGAGTTTTTCAAATATCAAAAACGAAGGCCGCACATAAAATCACGTTTAAATCATTTCAACTTTTATTCCGAGCAAAGTTTGTGAAATACACATGAACTACAACAAGTTTCGCCAATTGTAGGTCTTCTTTGCTAGGGTCTAGGTTTTAGAGAAAAGCCCCTCCCCCTTAAGGGAGTTTTCCACTGACTATTATGTACTATCGCTCGTATAAATGTACGGCAAAAACAAAACATGGAACAATAATATACTTCTGTTATATGTAACTAGCTACTTCACTTAGTCAGAATCTTTTTAATTTTGGGTGGGTATAATGATAGTTAGTCTAGGACTGAAAGTTAGAAATGGTTCAAATGTGATTTTAACGTGATTTTATGGGGGTCTTCGTTTTGGAGGGTTGGGGGCCGGGTTTTTCGTGTTGAAATTAAAATTGACAGTGACAGTAACATTAAAATGTTCTGCGTGACATGATGAACGTTTGGAACGATTTTGAATTGATTTTGTTGGGGCCTTTTGTTGGGTTTTTTAACTCGAAGATTGCGAAGCAATCGAAGAGTTATTGGAGAGGGACGAATCTGTCAAACACTCACTCAGTCAGTCACTCATTTTCCTGTAAACTTGAGCCTGCGTTACTTGTGTTCAGAACTATTTATCTATTCTCATTGTTCTCTATTAATTTTCTCATTAAGTTACCGTTACCGGGTTCCCTGTTCTATATTTGATTGAATTTATTTCTTTTTTGGCAAAGAAAGAAATCTAAAGAAATGTCAGCTCCGGCTGAGTCTCGAACCTCAGACCTCTGAATTAGAAATCGAAGGCACTACCACTCGTTACATAATTTCGGCTAGACTTGTGTTTTAAGTGCAGGCGCTCGCCGGCCCCTGGTTGTCAAGAATGGAAGTTAAAAATAATTCTATGTAAAGTAATTATAATTTAAAATTCGAAAATGATCATACGGAGGTGCTGGCCCGTGCTTATCGAGAACCCAAGTTAATATTAAAATAAAAATGAATTTTCCAGCTCTACGAAGTTCGCAATCAAATGGACTGTATTCTTTCTTGCACTCCTTTATTTTTAAATTTACAACTCGTGGTTTATAGAATATGCATCATGCTACACATCTGTTGTTTATGTATAGTTTACAACATGAGCGACCGTGTTGTATGTAATTCCCGTACAACACGTACGCGAATGTTATAAACGACTTATAAAACTCCAACACATGTCAAATTAACACGCATTACACTGAGAAAAATGACGTAAAATGACAATTAAGATAACTGCTGACTTTAGTCGCTATAAAGCATGCGCAATTTACTGCAACACAGAACATTTTGAATGATTATCCATCCCACATGGAAAGCAAGACATCTGTTGCATAAGTGAGTTCTGTTATCTGTCTTTGATTGCTTCAAAACCTAGTGAAGGTCTATGATGCGATACTAAAACTAAGACCTTTGCTAGTGTTGGGTTGTCTCAAGGTGACGACCATGTTGTAAATCTTATACAACACTAGTGTTGTATCATAGTGTTGTATCAGATACCTCATTAACTCATTGTCGACTGATGTCGATTTGTTGATTTTTGAGCTTTTTCGACCCTAACATCTTSATAAARTAATTGACTTCCATATAAGGTGCTGTCAATAAAACTATAGACCCCCCTCATGCATGTGACGTCAAAGCAGCTTCATCTGGAGGACAAAACAAAAGATTTTTAACCTCTTGGGAACTAGAATCCATTGTTTTGTCCTCCAGTTGGAACCGCATTCCCATGATGAACTGCAAGGGGTCTATTTTGGATTTGAATTCCCTAGGGAGCATTAATTTATGCAGGGCTTTGTAAATTTAGGTCAGACCGTTTGTTTATCGACTGGTTGAGCCTAAATTTACCTAAAAACCCGTTTATAAGTGTTTTTTTGAGCTTTTTGCTGCCACAGGAGCCCCTAGKCTTGCATCATTAAGCTTGACTAGTCGGCAGAGGCAATCTTCTGGAAGAAATCAGAGGTGGAAAGCGATTTTTCGAAGACAATGGCTCCAAGTCACGGTTTGTTTTGAACTGGAGACATCATTGTAAGATCGCTTTCCTGGTCCATCTGTGGCAGATTTTCCAACCTAMCAAGGTAATTTTGGCAATATTTGACAACCGAAGAATGCAATTGGCCCGATATTTTGCCTGTAGGTGCGGGGGAGCTCACACTTATAAAAAAATTCTTAAAAGAAGAATGCTGCACGATTTATGTCAAATTTTCCGTCTTCCCATGATGCATTTCGATCGTGCATAGAAGTTTGTTGTACCTGGTCTTCAAAAGAGGGCTGTTTAAAAATCTGCAGTGCATTTGAGAAAATAAAAACATCGAAATGAGGACGTTCTATCAAAGGGGTTTGCAAACCAAGTGGACTTTTTGCTAGGAGAACATATTTTGACGCTACAAATTGAGATGAAAATCAGTGTACTCTGCCGTCTTTCAAACTCAGATTTTGGCATTCATTTCAAAGCAGAGTCATGTTTTGTGTCTTTTGTTTCCTCGTTGCGAAATTCTTTCAACTGTAAGATCGACAATATCTACTAGTAAGTTCGTACGAGCAATTTCAGGGCTCTWGCTTAMTATTTCGGCAACTTATAGACTTTTGACGCATAGGTCGAATTCGACCTAAATTTCAAGGGGCAGACGGGACAGCCCTTATTGGAGTAACCCTATAAATAAACATAACTTCGTCGTAGAGTTTGAGAGTGTTTTACTATTTTAGTTTTTATATCACGGATTAAATAAAATTGCTCTACCAATGTTAATCAGGCCCCCTATTAGTGTAATTACAAAGTACATCTAATTCGTCATGTTTTTTTTCACTATATATCATTCACACTTTGGCTCTTGATATATAAGTATGACTTTTATTATCGGAATGCTGTGCAACTTTCTAAACCATAGATTTTATACGACTTTATAAACTGAACCGAAATTAAACGCAATAAAGGATCTTTCTTTTTCAACCTTTAATGTCAGTCCTTTGAGAAATAACTTAATTATTTGAGATCACAATACTTAATATAATAACATACTCTTCAAGTCAATGTAGTGTTATCTAATGTGTATCAGTATCAATGAAATATTAGGGTCTTTTTCTGATTTTGAAAACTTGATGTTTTAACAAGAGCGGAAAATATCATTTTTTTAACATCACAACACTTGAAGATTTCAAAGACATGTTTGGACTTTTTTTGAAATTGTAAATGTCTTTGATATTAAAATTAATTTAAAGTTTAAATTATGATTAATTTAGAATTCAAATGTCTTTGAAATTTAAAAGTGTTGTGTTATTTTTAAAAATTATTAGATCCCTTGTGCTTTCACGCTAACTTGAAAATATAATATCTTTCACATGTTGATCACTGTTGGCATAATAGCATTAGTAACTTGTTATTGTAACTTGTTAGTAGCTTGTTATTTAATAATAAATTTTTAACGACGAATTTTATCTTCTCGTCAGATAAAGTTATTCGCTTGCATATTCGTGAGATATTTATTAAACGCCCGAAAATATAACGTGCACTTCGATCCCCGCGCCCATACTCTGTAGGAGTATTTTTCTTATGACTGTAAACGTTTTCAATTCATGTTGTTTTTAATCTCATTATTACTGTTAGGAATATTAATCCTGTTTTTTGAGTGACTAAAACACAATAAATCATTTTTTTCGCTAATGAAGTGATTAAAACCATTGTTTGTGCCTCAAAACTGTTGCTTCTTCAAAACACAGGTGTCTCCAGAGTTAGCAGGAGTGATAGAATGCTATTTCGCAGTTTACCGGGTTCAAAGCTGGTTTTCTGCAAGCACTCCAACTTAAGCTCACTATTAGACGTGCTTGTAAACTTTCTAGCCATTGGGAAATGGAGCTTCGTCTTATGCTAGCATCGCTATGGATGTTTTCGGTAGTTGAAATTGCTGAAGGTAAGCCTTTGTGTTTATGCTCACATAGTTTACGAAGATGCACAAATTCCCTATGTTCTTAGAGGTAATTTTACCTCTTTTTTCATTTTCATACAGGAAAGTGTCGTCGTATCAAGTACACAAGATTTGCTGATGACAAAGAGCTTCTAAATCACACCATTGCTGTTATTGGTTGGACGGTGAATGATCTGTCGTTGTGCATGGCCAAGTGCTTCCAGGAAACACAAGACTGTGTTTCGTTCAATTTTTGCTCAACGCCTAACGGATGGAAAGAGTGCAGGCTTCTCAACTCTAGTCATTTTAAGAATGAATCGTTTTTGGTGGAGAGAAAAGGATGTGAATACTACACTTCAGAGGTAATGCACTAATAAATAAACAAACGAATGCACAGGCAAATACTACTAAAATCTTTTTTTAAAGGCTATTTTCCACCGGCACTCAATGTTTTGTATTTTTTTGTATATGGAAATAGTGACTTTAAATATCCATTTGCAGTCCGATCCATTTCCACCCTTGAGTTTCAATATCAACATTCATATAGCATAAAGCTATCATAAACAATAACTTTTAGATGTCTTTGTATTTTCAAAGATATTCAAAAGTTCGAAAGGGATGCTGGTTGACCATGGCTCTTTAATTAAAAACTGTTTTCGTATATCTTTCCAGAGTACATGCTCAAGCTCACCATGCGTCAAGAATGCGACTTGTATTCCACACATGCCGCGGGATCCCAAGCCGTACAGCTGTATTTGTCCCGAGGGCTTCAAGGGTCAATCTTGTCACATCGACATCAACGAGTGTGCGCAATCAGGCATCTGTCACGTGAACGCCACGTGTACAAATATGCCTGGGAAATACAACTGCACGTGCAAACTTGGTTTTCAGGGCGATGGTAATCAGTGCAAGGGTAAGGAGAAGTAGATAAAGTGTATTTCTTTTCTTGAAGCCATAACTCATAATATTTATGTGTAATTAATCTGTTTTATAGACATCGATGAATGCACAACCGGTTCTCACACCTGTCATGCGCAAGCAACATGTCACAATACCGCGGGCTCATATTCGTGTTATTGTAAGCTAGGTTACACAGGAGATGGCAAATCATGCTCACCGTTTGGTATGTCGTAATCTCTCATAATAACATTGGAAAATGATCTCTCGTTCGAGTTCCATATAAGGTTGTGCGTACAGTTCGCTGATGTACACATAGAAGGCTCTTATGTCCAAATTATGTGAAGAAGAACTTCAGAAGAAATTTTCAAAGACTTAAACTGGAAAAAAAATTGAAGGACGAGCATGAAGATTCGAACCAGCGCTATGCATTGCCTAAGCCTATATTTTCAATAAACCTAACCATTAAAGCCATGAGATCAATTCGCTTTAGTAAACCCTGAATAATCACGTCACGTCATCAATATTGATGACTTTACATGATTAATGAACCTTCTATGTATATGAGAGACATGCATATGGACATCCATATATGGAAGTCGTACGGCAGTCCAATCATTATTAATTCAAACCTGACAGTTAATAGAAAAGTTTAATCATTTCCCTGTACGTTGTTGTAGCCGAATAGTTATTGTCAAAGGACAACGGGTTGTTTTTTCATTGTTTTAGTGCTTTGTTGATGTTGATGCCGCTCAGTGCTGTAGTTGTTGCTGTTGTTGCTACTGCTGCTATTATTGTTTACCGCCTATAAGCCCTAACCGTGGGTTCTGAACAAAACATTGCCGGCTTTGCCGTTTGCAAAGGGACTGTGCAATAATTACCAGGAAAGGGGGGGCTGTGAAAATCAGATTTCTAAAGAGAAAAAATAAACATTACCCCCTCCAAAGCATTAGAAAACAGCTCTTTCCTAATGGATTTTTGATAAGGATAACCTAGAAAATAAAGCTTTAGCTAGCAGATTAAAAATGATCAGTGTTGTTGATAAAACCTTCTTCTTAAAAACCCACCTGCATCCATGAACTTTGCGATCGTTTCTTTTGTTTTGCATGTTGCTTTCTGATTGGTTCAAAAATTAAAGATGGCGAATTTTCGTAAGTGAAAAAGGTTCTTGGATGCACGTTGGGCTTTGAAATTGAAAATGTATTTTCAATAATACACTAATTTTCAGTCAAAGTTGTTTTTGACATTTTCTACAGTTATGTTTGTATTTACGTTAACTAAAAACTATGATAATATGATAAGAATAAAAATAAAAATCATATTAATTTGATATTAATAGGCGATATTTGATATTAATAATATTATTTTGATCAATTATAATACGGGGATTTTTTTTTATTCAGATCCCGCATGCAGTGGTTACAGCAACCTTACCGATCAAACAAGGAATGTGAATTCCGGCGTCGCTTCACCTCCGAAATGCGACACCGCAATTGGTGAATCGACGTGGTATCGCTTCCTCAGTCCTGCTGGTGTTCGTATGCCGACTTCATGTACCCCGGCAGATCGCTGTGGTGCCACCGCAACGGGTTGGCTGAACGGGCAGCACCCAACGGTTGAACAAGGTGTTGTTGACAGAACAGTCTGTTTCAACTGGAATTCAAATTGCTGCTTTGGACAAAAAACTATAAAGGTCCGTAATTGTGCAGGTGGGTTTTACACGTACAAGTTCAAGAGAGTTAATCCTTGCCTTCGATACTGTGCAACCAACTAAAACGGCGAAAACTATATCGCACTAATTCACTCAATTTTTGCAAATATTGCACTAAACACTCAAAAATGCACAGCGATCTGAAGCCGGCGTTTTCGACTCGTTTACACTGGCAATTTTTTGGAGATTTTTGCTGCAATTTTTGGGACAATTTTCAAAATATTATAGATTTTTCCTTTTGTGGGGGAATGAGTAATTTCATCAAGGTGTGCTGAAAAAATGTTTACAAGTTATTTTTTAACATTATTCTCTAGGATCAAAATGACCACAAAAATCGCCGCAAAAAACGCCGCAAAAATCGCCAGTGTTAACGGACGTATAGACTCTGTGGTCCCAAAAATCGCCGTAACTTAAATTTTATAGCATTAAGTAGTGCCATAAGTACATAACCAGAAGTGTCCATCTCCCCAATAACATCGCCACCATCAGATGTCCCGATAATCTATTTTTAGACAACCAATCACAACGCGCGCACATCTTACACAGCACCTGATTGGTCCTTGTTGATCTGCTTCAAGAGCGCGGACAAGAAAGGAAAATTATGTAGTAGATGGAGGCGAACGAATTGAAGTTCGCATTTACGAGAATTTTACACCTTTTGCTGAACAATCATTTTTGAATTCTATAGAAAACATACTTTACTATATGATCAATGTAGCAAAAGTATTTCAAGAGCAATATGGTCAGCAAAAACTAGGGAAAAGTTCAGACAAAGATGAAGAAAAATGTAAAACAGCGTGCTAAGAAAAGTAGTGTAAAGTAACTTCCTTACAGTCAAATAGAGCTGGACTTAAACAAAGCCAAAGGTAAAGTAATTTTCGACTTTTAAGGTGAGATGGAAAAGCTGTAAATTTTCAGGTAGGTGGGGTTTGTTTTGAAATTCAAGTTAGCTATCGATATTTCTTTGATGACTTTTCTTGTTTGTGGCTTTTCACAACTTATCTTGTTTATTATTTGGTTTTCGTTATTACCCTCTGTACCTATTCGCTAGTTTGTTTATTCCTCACTTTTTCTTTCAAAGAACAATAATTTTTCAACTCCTTACACAGTGAAGAGTTCACAATATAATATGAACTTAATTTGAACATCATTTCGCAAAAAAAGAGTTTTTGATTGACTTTTTGTGACATTTTTCGCACTCGGGCATCATTTTGTATTAGTTTTCCCCTTTTTATAAAGCTATTTAGATCCTAAAATACCTTTACTACAATTCTATGTATAGTCTAAGGTCTTTTTAATTCTATTAGAAYAGATTTCTTATTAAAACGAGAACAATTCTCGCCACAAAAATCACATTTTTGCAGACATTTCTTCGCACTCCTTTTGTCTACATCTTTTTCATCTTTGTCTGAACTTTTCCCCTGTTTTCGCAGACAATTTGCTCTTGAACTTCCTTCGCTACATTGCTCATATAGTAGTAAAGAATGTTTTCTATCAAATTCAGAAATGGTTGTTCAGCAAAAGGTGTAAAATTCTCGTAATGCAAACTTCACATCGTTCGCCTCCATCGACTACATAATTTTCCTTTTTTGTCCGCTCTTGAAGTAGATCAACAAGGACCAATCAGGTGCCGTGTAATATGTGCGCGCGTTGTGATTGGTTGTCTAAAAATAGATTATCGGGACATCTGATGGTGGCGATGTTATTGGGGAGATGGACACTTCTGGTTATGTACTTCTGGTAGTGCAATGAAATCCTAACTTTTTAAATTTAAAAGCCACAAGCATAAATATTATCTAGGCTAAAAGGTTGTGTAGTTTTGCACGTAGATCAAGATCAATTGCCCTAGTTCATTATTACGTCACATCAAAACATTCTATTGTTTTAACGCTCAGGATTATGGTCGCCAGAAGGGATCAGAGTGACTGCATATCAAATAAAATGTACATGAACAATCATTTATACATGATATATATCAAAACGCGATTCATTGAGGTTCTACTTTAGTAGAAAATATAAAATGGGTCCAAATTTCCACTGTTTTTGAGCATCGTTTTTCGATGTAAACATACTGTGACGTCATAATGAAATAGGGCTATTAAAGGATCAATCAATCAGTCAATGAATACGGTAGCTAAAGAAGTTTCTTCGAATAATCACAAATGTCTGTATCTTCCTTAACTGATTTCTGAGATGAAAATCAGAGGTGTTGAATTGATTGTAAACGTTTTACAAAGTTTTATTCAGATTTTATCTTATTACTCTAAGCAGTAATGTAATTATTATTAGTATCAACCAAACTATGGGCTAGGCTATTACAAATCCAGGATTCTGATTTGTCTGCTTAACTACGATATATTTCTGATATATCATGCATGTTCGCATCGCATGGAACAGAGAATGTCGAGAAAGATTGTTCTTTATTGTCTTTTTTTAATTTGCCTATAGATTGGTGAATTCTGAAACAATAAGATCACTAGGTCTTTTGAACTTGGCCTAGTACGGCCTCACGATTATCGCGACATCAGTGTTCAAGTTGTTAATTAGAGACTAATAAGCTCTCTTTGTCTAGCAATTAGTGTGTATCTTTTTCTACACTCATTACTCTGAAGAATATGGATTGTATTAAATGTAGTCACTAGCAAAAATGTTTTAATCTAACTAAATAAAACATCTATTTGTAACTACTGAGGTACGTGATTAAAATCAATGTTTGCTTGSTCAAAACACAGGTGTCTACAGAGTCAAAAGGTACTGTAGCGAAAGTTGCTAATAGAGTACTAAAATGATGGCGTCACACAACGAAAATGTTTGGGTTTTTAAATTTGACCTCCATATTCTGAAAGTGCATCATTTTTAATGCATTCTTGCTAAACATGAGTGTCTTAGTGCCATTTACGCTTGTAAATGTGCTCTTGTTCCTTTCGTTATGAACAAGACCAGGAGCCCATTACTACCTAGTAATGGTGGGCTCCTGACAAGACCACATTTACAAACGTTTGTATGTGCTCACCCGACCATAAAATCGCTTGTATCTCTGCTATAAATGGCACTAAGCTAGACACTGAAATTTGATAGATGGCTACTTTTTCCATGCGCTAAGGATATTTCAACAAATCAGAAAAATTCGAAAAAAGGTATTTTTGTGACGTTACAATTTACACCTTTTGCTGTTCATTAGCGTAAAAAGTACACTCATTTGTGCCAAGCGATGCTTCAATAACTTTTATTGTACTTTCTTGAACACCGTAAGCAACATCATTGGCGCTAAACGACTTTCAATAGCGATATCTAAATACACGCGAGCATTCAACAGTATCAATAGACAATCAACTGAACGACTGGACAATCATTTGGGTGGAACGTTGTTTCATGTGCGCGCAATGAAAATTCAATAGCACCAATTGACAAACGGTTGCATTTATTGACAATCATTCAACCAAAAATGAAACTTCATTAGTGTTACTAGCATAAACATAGGCAATCTATAGCGCGTTTGAACAATCATAGCCATTCGAGAATACATTCTTTAGTGCGCTTTGACAATCATTTGAGCGATTCAAAATACAATAACACAAAAGAAAAAATCAATACTACTTGTCATTTCTATTTAAATTTCAGCCTTCGATAAATGATAAACTCTCTGTCAATACAACGGGGTAGATATGTTTGCATTAAACGGAGCCAGCCCACATTAAGTTGGAATGATTGTTTCAATACTATTTCGATTCAAAGCCTCCAAAAGCAGCTGTGTGTGGTAATGGCCCAAAGCAAGGCCTTGATTTCTTGCTTCATCTCGATTATTTATTTCTTGTTGTATTGCGGGACGACTTATATCTGCTTACATCGCCGCTTTCAAGGAGCTTATTGCTTGTTCCACGATGTTTAGAAATAGACTGTAGGGCGGCAATTATTTCATCTCAGTGTTTGCACCTGGAATGAATAGATTGTGATGGGCTGGGGCACCATCGTAAATGAAAATGACGTTTTCATCGGGATCAAGATTACACCTTTTGCTGTTCATTTGCGCAAAATTAATATACATTCATCTACGTCAGCTGTAAAAACAACAGGGCGAAAAGACATTCATTAACATTATCTTAAGTTTCAATAACGCCAAGAAACATTCAATTACGTAATTTACATATCAGTGACATTCAATAGCATTAACAGACAAACAATTGCATCTTTAGACAATCAAAGATAACATACGTACTTTCAATCTCGCTGAATTAACAATCATTATTACCAAGATACAATCAATTGCATTGATTGACGATCAATGGTGCATAAGAGACATTCAATAACAAAATTACCATAGAGAAGAACAATCAATTGCGCCTCTATGCAATCATTCATTCGAAATGAACATTCAATTGCGAGAAACGACAAACATGTGCGTAATAACTACAATCAATTATGGATTTTGTCTTAGTTTTCCCCTTTTTATAAAGCTATTTAAATCCTATAATACCTTTACTACAATTCTATCTATAGGTAAAGTTAATTATATTGGAACAGATTTCTTTTCTTCGCACGCATTTTGTGTGCATCGATCTTTCTTTATCTTTGTCTAAACTTTTCCCCTCTTCGCAGACCATATTGCTCTTAAACTACCTTCGCTACATTGTTCATATAGTAAAGAATGTTTTCTATACCAAATTCTGAAATGGTTGTTCCGCAAAAGGTGTAGAATACCCGAAATGCAAACTTCACTTCGGTCTTCGTTCGCCTCCACCGACTAAATTTTCTTTTCTTGACCGCTTTTTAGAAAGTACCAACAAGGACCAATCAGTTGCCGTTTATTATGTGCACGCGTTATGATTGGTTGTCTAAAAATAGATTATCTGATGGTGTCAATATTATCAGCGAGATGGACACTTCTGGTTACGTACTTCTGTCGATGATAAACACTTGAAGGTAAGACTTAAATACAAAGCGTATGTTGAGTGCTAAAACAACCAGTCCCGAAATAACGAATAACTTGTCCAGAGAGCTTTTAAAAACGCGCTGTCCACTTATAACATATTTTGCTAGGCAGTTATTGCAAAATATAAGAATTTTCATTTAAACAACGTTAAACCAACGAAATTTAAAATGTTAAGAAAAGGTAGTTTACAGAAAAGTGAGTGAGCGAGTAAGTGATGGAATTTGTTTATTCGGCAAAGCATTTTGTTACTAGCAGTGTTTGGCGCCAAGTGGAAATGGGCTATCAATTTCCATCCAGATCCGGCGTGCGAGAGCTACGCCAACAAAAACGACCCAACACATGTCAAGCACGCGACCTCGGGCACCAAGAAATGCCACAACAATATTAATGAAACTCTGTGGCACGGTTTTGTTAGCCCTGCTGGCGATCATATATGGCAAGTACATGACCACAGTACAATCGCGGCCAAGCCTCCGCAGAATGGCTGGCCGAGGCGCCTCCAACAGAAGCACAAGGCTTACTACAAGGAAAGTTTGTTTCAATTCGTCTGATAGTGGAGGTTGCTGTAAAGTAGAACAGATAGTCACGGTCCATAATTGTGGATCGTTTTACAAATACACACATTTTAAAAGACTTTTTTACGTTACTGCTACCGTGCTATCAACTAAAGCAATAATACAGTCGGTTCTCGCTATAGCGGACATTCCCCAGGAAGTAACTAGGTGTCCAGGAAGTAACTAGGTGTCCTAAAAAGCGAGCGTCCGTTGTAAAGGAAGTTGTTTCCAATACAATCAACTCTCGCTATAACGGAAAGTCTACTCTCGTTATAGAGCAGATTTCGGGCTGAAGTTTTCAGAGTAATTTTTCCCAAAAAATGTGTGACCCTCCCCAGTAATTCTAAAACCAAACTTTTGACATCTCCTCGCTAAGGACCGCGTGTACAATACAATACAATACAATGATTTTATTAATTCCTCTCACCGGGATTTTCAGAATTAATTTACAATAAGTGTTGAAAAAAACTGAAATATCTATTAACAATTAACAATAATAATTATTATAATAAAATATAAAGTTATCCATAATACATAATATTCTGGAATTATACTTGTAATTCTAGTCTCGCATGTCTCTTGAGCTCCTTTAATGAATTCGCATTTCGCGTTTGCAGACTTAAAGAGTTGAAGGTCTTTATTGCATGATAGAAAAATGACCGTTGTGCAGTTTTCGTACGACAAAATTGGATGTTAAGGTTACTGTTACGTCTAGTGTTATAACTATGTACTTGAGAACGGTTAGATATCTTTCCAGATAGGTAAGATGGCGTTAACTCATTAATGCACTTGAATACAATAATCCACCGATTCGCAGTTGACTTTCGATACGAAGCCAGCCTAGATCTTTAAGTGCTGGTGTTTTGTGATCGAATTTCATAACCCCTGTGAGAATCCGTGCCGCAAAGTTCTGGATACGTTGCAGTTTCTGAATGTTCCGTTTAGAAGTACCTGACCACACTGTGGAACAGTAAAATAATTTACTGAAAATAAGTGAGTTAAGAACCATGTGTAGTGTTTCCTTTGGAAAAATATGTTTTACTTATTTGACACAGAGAAGCCAAGAGCGATGAAGTTAAGTTACTTATATGATCGTTAAATGACAAACTAGGATCTAATACTATCCCCAGGTCCTTGCATGATGAGGCAGGTCTTATTTGCTGTCCAAGGAACTCGATGGAAATTTCCGTTAACACGATAAATGTTCTGGGGAACTCCAATAACATGATCTTAGTTTTATCAGGATTGATAAGTAGAGAATGCGCACACGCCTGAGATCTTCCGAGACATGTGACAGACCAATGTCCTTTAGGGATAATGAGACATWATTTCGTATCATCGACATAAGACTCTATTTCACAATGTTTGACTGCCTTAGGAAGRTCGTTAACATACAAATTAAATAGCACAGGGCCCAATATAGATCCTTGTGGTACTCTATGTGTGATTATGGGAGGAGATTATAGCGAAGGGCCTATAAGGGTTGTCTCTATCAGAAAGGTAGGATTCAAACCATTTCAAGACATTAGCAGATGCTACTAGATTACAGAGCTTATTGAGAAACATTGAATGACTAATACTATCAAATACTTAATAATAGATACTGTTCAAGTCAATTAGTACCATGAGTGTCACCTTTTTGTTATCTATCGCTATGAAGATGTTGTCTGACACAAAGTCCTAGGGTCTATAGTGGAGTGTAACTTTCTGTTACCACTCTGATGGGACGTCAATCTCTTGCGACTGATCAAATTGTCAAGAAACTGGTTGAGCCCTATCCTCTCTAGAACCTTCGAGAGGGCTGAGAGCAATGATATTGGTCGGTTGTTATTGGGCAGTTCATGATCTCTGTCTTTCAAGTGTGGTACAATCTCAGACTTCTTCCACCCTCTAGGAAAGGTGCTAGTTTCAAACGAGGTGTTGATAAGTTACGTGATAAGTGGTAATATATGTGGTAAACAATCCTCAATAACTCTTATAGGAACTTTTATCATGGCCTGGGCCCTTGTTAGACGGCATCTTGAAAATTAACTTGCTAATTTCGTCCGGCCTTACTGGTCGGAAACGGAACTGCTATTCCTCCGATCTTTCCAGTATGTTAGGATTAATACAATAGGGAGCTCGTAAATCCAAATTATGTGCCTTGGCAAGATCTTCAGAAGCTCTCGCAGCTTTCTCACCAACAGATACAAAGAAATGATTAAACTCTGATAGAAGATTGTTATTTTTGGTATAACAAACTTCCCGTCCTGCTTTGCGTGGGAGAGCTGAGCGAATTATCTTCCAAATGGAGGAGGAGTTGTTAGTGATCTCCTTCATTTGTTTCTTGTAATATTCTGTCTCAGCATTATGAATGCAAAGTTTCACTCCACGTCTGCAATCCTTAAACACCCTCCAGCCTCCGGGCCAGTTGAGTTTCTTTAGTGGAGTTTTAATTTATGCACAAATGCCACCTCCCTGAGTTTTCTCTCTGGTCTGACGTCTGTCAAGTCTAAACAACTTGTAGCCCTCTAAATGAACACTAGCGTTGGTAACCGAGGAATTAAACCGTGTGTGTGTATGTGCTGATCGTGAGAGAAGTATGTGATTAAAAGTACAATAAAGACGCAAACGAATGAGTTCCTTTTGGAATAACGCCAGCTCCTGAATACTTCCATCAGAATCTCGATCAAAATCTAGAAGGATTGAAAGGAACATTCAAGATTGCAGACGACATTTTCTCATATCATCTTGCACAACACAGCGCACGCAAGGCGCAAGACGCAAATCAACCGATGACTGGAACATGAAGAAGACACGAAACCCTAACGTATCGTTTTATGCGTATGAACTCGAAAATAATTCGATGGTTGTATATAGTATTGTAAAGGCGCTGTTTGCACTTAGTGCTGAAGTTGCAAAAGAATTTCACAATGTAACAGGGGTCATTTTGCAACCTTTTTTTGTAACGCGTAGCGTTTCACGAATTACAACTCAGGTCTACTATTCGCAACACACTATAGAAACTTGAAATGACATTTCACAGTGTCTGCAGCAACATTTATCGTAATAACACACTGTAGAAACTTGCAATGACATTTCACAGTGTCTGCAGCAACGTTTATCGTAATAACAAACTTGCAATGACATTTCACAGTGTCTGCAGCAACATTTATCGTAATAATCGATTTGCAAATTTCGGTTCATGCAGTATTCAAACACAAAAGAATCAAAACGAGGCGCCGTGCATAAAGTTCAGTCAATTGTGAAAAACTCTTGTCTTTTCATGAATGACTGAGCTTTATGCACGGCGACTCGTCTTCGTTTCTTTATGTGACTAGAGGTAAGATTCACAAGTCGGCCATTTTCGATTCACCTACGCTGTTATAGCATGCGCAATTTTTCATTTCAAATGCCCGCAAACTTAATTCTGGCTCCAAACTTACCCAATCAATGTTGCAAATTGCTGAGGAAAACTGCAACGCACAATAGGGCTACGCAACAGCATTGCAAGAAAAGTTGCAGAGAAAATTGCAGTGTAATACTGCAAGTGAAATTGGTCTGTTTTTGCCGTTGATCATTTTCTACAAAAAAACTTTGAGCCTTATCACCTCCTGACAAATATCCTTCTCTGAAATATGTTTGCATGATAAAGACTGTAAAGCTGATTCTGGATCTGCATACTGGTTCTGCGCGGCGGACATACAGTACTAAGGGTACCCTTATAGGGACATACACTACTGCACAGAGGTGCACAAACAACGAAATCATTCTACGTGCACCGAATCAAATACAGCTTTATTTCCCATAATTACTAATTATTGAATGTGTGTCTTTCACTAATTACTTATCCCTTCTTTTGAAAGAACAACTTCTTTGAAATTAGATTTACTTATTTACTGAATAATAAAGTACGATATATAAACTACGATTAATGATTTTGCATTATAATATTGATGTTTTGCACTACCAGTCATTTTGATCATTCATTTTCTAGAAGACATTTTCTCCACAAAAGTTATGAGTCTGAGTTATTCAGTCAATAGACCTGCAGAAGCATCAGAGTCACTTCTACCAAAAAATAACTTTCTTGAGATTGTTCTGTTTGATCTACTATTAGTAATCATGCTATCAAGAGATTTGTGTTCCGTCCATCTTGCTTGCACATATTTAGTTTCTCTGGCCTTCTACTGAAATTGATCGATGATCATACACGTCACAAAACGCGACTGCGCAAGCCGAATCAAGTCATTGCGCTGTTATCGCGAAGAACGATGATGAATGGTGGAAAGACTTAAGGACATCAAAGGTCAGATCTAAATCTGATTCAGTCTTGATTAGTGCAGTGTTTGCTTTGTTGATATCCTCGTACGTCTTTATGTGGCGACAGTGACTTTGTTTACTTCTGTGGTTGTTTAAATCTTGACAGATCTGCGAGTGATGCATCAAGGGAAAGGTGCTTACTAATGGCCTTTGATACATAACCTCCAGATGACCATCTTGATTTGGTCTCTATTCGCAAAAATAAGAATCAAAAGCATCCATGAGAATCTCATATACTGCTCTAAATCCAAGAAGTCTGAGCATATAGCATTCTTTCATCATTTAAGAGCTCGAGTCAATGTTGTTTTTAAGTTCTTCAAGTTCGATATCCTTTCCACCACTTAGCTGTCCATTAGTTGACTTAATTGTGCTACAGCGAGTTGTTGTTACGGGCACATGCTTATAGTTGTACTTACCACAGGGTACCCGACAAAGATCTTTTAAATTCCTTCGATAATCCTTATTAAAGATGAAGTAGATCCAAGGGTTGATGGCACTGTTTGAATGTCCCAACAATAATCCTAAGAAAAGAATCATCGGCGAGATATCACAGCTATTGATGCCATAGTAAAAGTTTACCATTATTAGATAGATATGGAACGGAAGCCAACAAAGTGCAAAAGCAATAACAACAGTTATCAACATCTTGAGCACACGTCGCTTAGCAACATCTTCCAATCTCTGGTTAGCTTGTGTGACGTTTCCAGGGACATGCCTTATCCAAACTTTGTGGATTACGCAAGAGTACAGGTATGTGATCAGACAGAGTGGGATGACGTACATCAGAGTAAACAAGGCCAGTGTGTAGTACTTGGGAGTCTGATTGTTGTCAAATGTGGGACTCCAGTCTTCCGTGCAATGGTACTCACCATGTTGTTCCTTAACGCGCATGGCATATAACACTGGAGATGTGATTGCGCATGAACACAGCCATATCAATAGTATGACCAGCTTGGTTTTCTTGGCATTGAGTGGGGTCTTCAAGGGAAACATGATGGCGAAATATCGATTGAAAGCAATGGCGGTCATTGACAAAATACAACATATCTGACTAATACCGCTAACAAAGTTGTCACTCTTACACCAAAACTCTCCCCAGAATCCAGCAAACCAAACCGGTGGCAGCCCATTGGCACTGCGTACAAAATACCTGACCATCATCGGCATATTGATAACGGCAATAAGCAGATCGGCAATAGCCACGTTGATTATCAAGAAATTAACTTCGGTTCTCATTCGTTGACCTGTCGTGAAAACTCGGATAACGATGACGTTACCGACAATGGACGTAATGAGGAGAGCAATGTAAGTAACGACCTTGGCCCATTCAGCCTTGGGGTTTGTTGGCGGTACGTAGCAGTCCCCGGATGTGGTATTGTTGAATAAATCCATATTAACTGTTATTTGTTTCCCTGTACAGAAATGAAGATATGAGTTAATGCCGGTAATTGATTAGCATTCATGACGCTTTAATTAGAATTAATAAAAGACTTAAGCCCCATCCGTATCCAGCACTTCATTTTGTCCTGATCCCTTTGGTATCCTCTTGGGCCGGCTGGTGATTGGGTTTTTATTTATGATTATCAAATTCATTAATAATTCATAAAGTAAACACAATGGAAAATCATTGCCGTGACCGCATCTTTATATGAGCAAGAGATTTGTCCTGATTTGCATACGACTTTAACTTCGATTTTCTCTTACAAATGATATTTTATCCTGAAGTTTTTTTTTTCGAAATGTGCTTTACCTTATGTTGGAATTTGATAAGCAATATAAAATATTCGCGTCCGACCTTTATGGGCTATAAAACTGCTCGCTTGTAGCTCGCAGTTTTAAATGCCCATAAACGTCTCCCGCTCATATTTTATATATTACATCACAGCTGATCATTCTTCTTAGTAAACTTACATTTACTATTCACAAATGTTCTGTCAAAGTGCACGAGAAAAGCATTTATCTGTAATCACGTGAATCATCATTCAAATTTCTGAGTATTTAAAAAACACTTGGTGGTTTTAAACTTTTCATCCCTGACTGGGTGTCGACGAATCAATATCGTGCAGGGCTTTTTGATCATAATGTTTTTAAAAACATCTCTGCATTTATGCCGTATTTTGCTCAGTATTTCATGCAGATTATTTGTGCTAAAAAATAGCTTAAAAAATCAATGACTTGTCGTGCACTAAGGCAAAGGGGAAACTTTAAATTTATATGATTTTTATACGAAATTCATTGAAATTATTCTTAATTTGATCAGAAATATTCCCTCGTGACTTTTTTATACTAGTAAAAAACAAACTAACAAACGATCTTGCGGATACGCATATTTGACATCAAGCCAGTATTAGTTTAAAATGAGAGCATGCGTTGGTATTAATGTCAGTATCCAATATACCATTCTAACAGTAGCTCACTGACAAGCAAAAGCAACATTACTGATCAGCTATCAGACAAAGATAAATGACTCTCACTTAAGTGTCAAAGATGCGGAGTTCTCTTAATCCATCAGGAATAACAAATGGTCTGTAATTACCTTAACTGATAGCTATGACAGTTTGTATTGTGGAAACTATTTTCCTACTAATACGATTATATCACGATCAACTAATAGTGCAATTTCAAGAAAATTTGAATTCAAATATCCTTCTAAGGTGTGGTTATAACCGATAATGCATACCATATGTCCATACATTGAAAATGTCATGCGCAAATACTCCGACAATAAATATCAAGACCGCATGGCACTATGAGATATATGATATAGAAATAAGACTGGAAAAAATCGCGCGCTTCAAAGGTTGTAAATTTGACGTAAATATGATGTAAGTGTCCAAAATTCTGTAAATTTAAGGGAAATCATTTACATTTACATTTTTCACTGTTAAGGAAAGTTCTACAACTGATCCCGACCGGTTCAGTATTAGTGTGTTTTTAAGTTACTTGCATCAGGCCTGTAGCGGAATACGCATGTCAAGTTTTCAACGACGGTCCCTCCCTCAGTACCTTTCTAAAAATCTTGAAAGGATACAGCGGCAAGCCCTCAAGATAATCTTCCCAGACCTAGACTATTCAACGGCTCTTGACGTGTGCAATCTGACAACCCTCTATCAACGCCGGAAGCAACTGACAGAGCACCTTTTCAAAGAAATTAATGACAACTACGAACATAGACTCCAAAGTTTATTGACGCCTCGGGACACCTCTTAAAAAAAGCTCAGAAGAAGGCGTGCCTATAATTTTCCTATCTGTCGAATGAATAGATTTACACAAAGTTTTATAATGTATAATAGTATCCAATATTTCAATTCTTAAATTATATACATAAAGATATCTTATATTTTAGAAATATTTCAATTATGTTTTATATTCTTATATTATATTGCTTGTTTTGTTGTTTACTTTGTAATTGTCCGTTATCCAGCCTTATGGCTGCAATGGGTTTTAATAAACTATCTATATGACTATGTATCTCTATCTATAGTGTTTAGAAGCAGGTTATTCCGTGTTATTCCTGTTCCCAGTCTGACATTTTTGCTCAGCTGGTAGAGCATCGGTAGTACAAATCCGTGGGTCGTGGGTTCGAATCCGAGCGAGGTCGGAAATTAGTCAGAAGACTCTCATGTAAGCAGTATTTATTTTAGAAGAATGATTTATGCTAATGGCGTTGAATTATAGCCTTGACACAGGAGTGTTATGCTATCATACTGCGCATAAACGACGTTTCGGCCCACTGAACACAACATTTGAGACATTCAATTTTAGCAAAGGTGTAGCGTTATGTACGCAAGTATGCAATTCAAAAAAAATAGCAAAGTTTGCGATAATTTTATAATCTTAGATGTGAAATAAGATTGCAGTTGCATACATCTAAAATAAAAGAAGGCACAGAGTCGGCAGTTCCTTGTAAAACGGCTACTGATTCTCTGCGCGGTTACCCAACTGTCCCCAACAGGAAGAAAGGGAAAACTCACCAACGATTGAAGATGTAAAAAATGTATGGCAAATTCTTATCGAAAACCTCATGTTTCTACTCATATCCGAGTTCAGAGACATGGATTTTCTATCGCGCGCTCGCTCAAAACATTTTAATAATAGAAATATCAAACTGCCGATTGCCTTTTTTGCTCTCTCCTGCACTCGAGTTCTTAGGGGCTTGCTTCTTCTATGCTCCCTTAACAGCAGGCGCTTAACAGTGTGTTTATACATCAAAGAACAGAGACTCGCGCGGCCGTTCTCATTTTTTAATAGCACATTAATGAGAGGAATTCATTAAAAGAAGATCGCTTCAAGTTAACTCTCTCGCTTTTCTCTCAGAAATGAATGGATCTTTCTCCAAAACTGCCAAAATTCATTGAATAGACGATCAAAATGGTTATTCTTCTGTCCTGTTAGCGTATTTCTTTTTCCAATAGTACAAATTGTCTATAACGTTTATTCCACGCTGCCGCATTTCAGCAAAACATTTCAGAATACTAGATAAAAGTTATTATTATTAAACTATTAATATATCATTAATACTATTGTCATACTAGGAAGACCACAACACTAGAGACTACTTAACACTTACTTCGATAAAGCCCAACCGACTTGCTCTTCACAGATCAACCGAGTTGTGTTGTCGGCATAATTTCTACATTCTTTACTTTTCGCGGTTTGTTATAATTAAACATCTGAACGTATAACCTGACAATAATGAACTTAATAAAAGTAATTTCCTGGATGTGAAACGCTCCCTTCATTTTGTGACTAATTGAATTTCTTACATTTGATCTAATTGAAGTTTACTGTACACATCGCGTAGGATAACTAAACTCGCCATTTACAGCCATTAAAAACAGTGCTGGGAAACGKCCACCTTTTCACAACCTGCCCGGACGTAAAGCCCTTAAAATGTGTCAAAAAAATCAAACTTCCCCAGGTTAAATGTTTTCTTTTTAGCCTTAATCTCAATGTTTACCCCTTTCGCGATGGGAAAAGTAATTTTCCAAGAACAAAATGGTTTTAATTAAAGTGTGACTCAATTTATTTTGTATTCGCAAGATTCTGACCAAATATTCAATATAAAGTAGAAATTATGGTAAAATATAGCTTTAGAGTATGTCAACTCAGATCTTTCTGAAAGCTCTCCGAGCAAGCAAAAACAAAAATATTTTTATATTGAATTATATTGATTACTAATTGGAGAATTGAATTAATTGTACGATAGCCTTGTCAAATTTCTTGTGACTATTTAAGCTTCTTTGTCAGTTTTTAAAGACGATCAGACAAATCCTTTTATAAGTCTAAAACTGATGTTTTGGCTAGAGCAGGACGCCTCGGGCGTTTTTTAATAGCTGGCACTAGGAGTTAAATAAAGCTGAACAAATAAAAGCTTATTCCAATTCTAAAAGAGCTGGTCGATCTTTCTGAAATAACAGCTGAACATTGCATGCTGATGAATTGAAAATTTGGAAATTTGTGTCTTTCTTTTTCATCGAGTAATTATTGGAACGTAAATAAATATAATATACAATACAAAAAAGAAGGATAAGCCAATCTTATCTTATCAAATCAACTAAAAATATCGACAATAGATTTAGTATTAGATCAGATTTCATTACATGTGATCATGCTCAGTATTGTCAGTACTCTGAGAACAATAAATTGTCAGTACTTATAAAATACATACAAATAGCTTAAAGACTAAAACTTAAAACAGTAATTTTGTTTTGGTTGTAAAATTTGGATTTTCAGTTGAAAAGTTAAAAGTTATAAATAAAGATTTGATTCTTTATTTCTAACACTGAACATAATACAATATATGATTGGTATCCTTGGATACAAAATCTCCGCAAAACGTGACTAAACATATGTACTGGATATGAGTTCAAATTTGTTGAGTGCAGCTTAAGCTGCAAAGTAACTAAAAGCGCATAAATCGTTTCAACTATTTTATAGGATGACTTTTAGTTCGAACAAGAGAACATGAAACAAGTAGATTTTGCTTTTCGTCTACAAGTTATCGTCAATTGATTAGTTTTCACTGCCTATTGATAATGTGAATAGTTTGAATAGAGTATTCACTATTGGCAAAAACACTCTTTTGAAAAAGCTGATCTCATTCCTACTAAGTATATTGAAACAAACGACTTTTCAAGGTAAAAAATAAAGTGCAAACCTCGATCGTCTAGAAAATTCTGTCTGAAGAGTAAGTGTTCTATGAAAACCATCTGTTTTGACTGGAAGTCAACTTTAGCTTTTTTTCAAAGAGATATTGAACTCAGTGTTGCCTTATTTGAATGAATATTGTTTCCATAAGCTATGGCAATGTAGCAAGAACGGTTATGTCGGCCATCACAGTTATCTGGTTATACCTTGAAAACTTTCACTACTGCTAAAAACAATAGAGGATGATTCAAATACAAGTGAAAAATAGTGTAATAAAGGCCCAAGAAAGTGTGATACACGGAAAGATAAAAAAAGAGAAAAACGTGCGCCGAAAAACGTGAACTAAAAAAAGTGCACAACAAGTGTAGTATACGTACCTAAAGTGCACAACAAGTGTAGTACGTACCTAAAGTGTATTTCAGGTGTTTATGAAAACCGTGAAATACAAAGTTATGAAATTATCTGATTCACTCTCAAAAGGACAGTTTTCTAGGATCCTTTTTAAAGAATATTTGCGAGACAAAATGGTGTTTTTAGTTATTCACTACCGCTAAAGTAAGCTCACCAGAAAGGCTTACTTGGTGTAAATATTTAGTGAGCTAAGTGCTTATTCATGATGCGATTTAAGTCTTTTCATCGATGAATAGATGTCTTGCCACCAAGCCATTTAGCACAGTGAGCAGAATATTGGACCCGCTTCCTGAGCCAAATATCACTGAACACTGTTGATCTTCCGATGCTCTTTATAGACCAATGATGGATTTGACCCTTTATAAATGATTACAAGGAGTGGGAAGATTGTCATATTTTAGGAGTCTCCTGGTCAGACCGGACTAAAGCCTACATATTTTGGATTATCTCGGCTATTCACGACTATGTTTCACAGACAATACGATTTTTTAATCAGATATGGCGCAGATTGCATAAATAGGCTTAGATTTAAGTTGATTTCTTTGCGTAATTTTGATGTTTTCTTTGTATTAAAAATATTGCATGCAAAAGACAATCACATCCGTGTTGAATCATGATTTTTTCCTCTATGAACGATTGTTGTAATATCTGATCTACAGAGCAATCAATATGCGTCTTATAAAAAGATCCGTTTTAAACATTTGTATAATTCTTTTTGGAAGGATTTACAGGTCATTTTTTATTGCAGATAAATTAGAAATAAAGTACTTTTTCATTTCAATATGAAAAACGCCTTTGAAGAATTGAATTAACAATCGAATGCTCGATATCAAAATTCGCAAAAGCATATTGCTCTTTTTTCTATAGAGATAGATCTCTCTTTTTAATCATTTGTCTGTTGGTGTGATATAGTTTTGTTTGTTGGTTGAAATGGTCTTCTAAATCGTTTATATCACACTCCATCTAAATCTCTCAAACATCTTACACTACTCTACAAATCTCCTCCTAAACATTGCATGATAAAATAAAGGCGTTTGACACTTAATATTTCATTAAAACTACATTCAAATGCTTTTAAAATTGCTAAAAACAATTAATAAAAAAATCATTGTAGAAATGCTATCGGCTGCTTCCAAGGCGAAGGTTCATTGAGCCCTGCAATTGGCATAATCAGATTGATAACCCTATGAGGAAATCGTCAATCCAATTTAGATTCAACAAAGAGCAATAAGATGTTCATTCACAGCTACAAAATGCTTACTTTAGGCTTTGTGACTTTAGATTTTCAATTTCATCACAGATCAAACTTGTTTGAACTTTTTTAGACGACACTCTTGATCTTCTGGTAACGGTTTTTGTATTTCTCCTTACGTTCAAACTAAGCAATGAAAATACTTTTGATGTGCCAGTAGCCTAAATATCTCCTTAACTTGTCGTTCGAAAAGTATTGACAGCTATGAATCTTTTTTGAAGTAGTCGCCTAGCAACTGTCACATGACAAGCCAACACGTCACAAGTCGTCACATTTTCTTGAGTGAAGAGAGGTACCTAGTAGATTAATCTTATTGAAATAACAACGCAAATTTTGGTCCTCAAATTGAAAGATATGTTTACGTAGGCACTTGAAATTTTCCGGTTGCTTCAAGAACGTATATCATAAGCTTTAATTATGTAGCGAAGATAAAATTCATTAAATGAACGTAGAAAATCCAACACGGAGTGGCCTATGGAGTATATCACATTAGATATCGAACACTCTTTGCTGGTTAATTATCTAAAATTGCTGTGAAGGGCTGTCAGAAGCTCCTCCTCTAACCAACCAATGTCAGTCTTATTTTGAATGATTTCAAAGATAATCTCTTCATTGCGAACCATATTGCTTTTTTTAAAAAAAAACCTTCCCTAAAAAATTACATAATTTTATAATTATAAAATGTCAAATAATTACATAATATTATTTTTGAATATTTTCAGCCAGTGTTTTTTTAAGTTCATATTTTAACAGCTCTGAGAACATATTTAAAATGCGCTGGATTATGTAAATATTCATTCCATGGAATAATGGGAATACGACGTTCCAGCAACAATATTTTCTACCCAAGAGCTATAGTTACTACTTCTTTTTCAATAATTTTACACATAGCGATTTGTTTGAAAAGATTTTATTTAATGAACATTTTTGTTTGCGTTCGCTATACAAAAGCTGGTCAATTTATATTCGAACGATCCAAATCTGATTTCTTAGTTTTGGATTGAGACAATAATCTTAAGTTAGAATAAGCGTGTGAATTACTGTGCTCATAATTTCTGTTCAAGTAATTCAAATACTGATTTGTATAATTGAGCTCAATGTAAACAACGCGAATCCATAACAAAGAGGGATGTTACACAAATCAAGTAGGTCATGCAGTTACAATTTCGAATGCAAAATATAGTACGGTAGAAATTATTGCCAGTTTTTTGCTTCTCTCATGCGATTGTTCTAGTTTTTATTTTTTTGCCGTCATTTTTAATCTTTCCAATTATTAAGGGAAATTGCGGGAATTCCATCGAACAGTGAATCAAAGTGAAGCGCCGAAGAAAAAGACAGAAATCTCTGAAAAATCTCTGAAGTTTGGGAATGAAATTCTTGTACATCTATTCACTGAAGAAATAGAACGATTTCGCTATTGTAAAGGCCTACCTCTCTCAGTTTTCTATATACATCACGCCCCAACAACCGTCGAAATGTGCATGTTTTCAAAATGTGAGTTACTGGTTTATTTGCATTATTAATAGTGAGGTTATAAGTACAAGCTAAGATAGTGGATACATATCAAAACTATTGTATGAAAGAATACCATGAAATAATTACAAAACAACCATAAAACTAAAAAACAAACAGCAAAAAAAAAAAAAAAAACAAGAAAGATATGTATTTTGCGATAACCATGAAAAGGTTAAGGAAAACTTACGAACGATAAAAGAACATAGTTGCTAATGAAAGACCAATAATAGTTATATTGAAAGTGGTATTGAAGCATTAATAAATTATCACTTGAAGTTTGTTACTTCTTGGTAGAAAAAAAATCTAGATATGACTTTATTATTTTGAACGTAAATCACTTTCACAGTACAACAACCTGCAGTAGCTTGAAATCTCTGTTCTTAGACATGTCTACTAGAGAAGACTTCGCTATCGCCGTTACATTGTGTCGGGAAAAGGTTTGCATTCTTTTTTTAATTCATTTTATTGCTTTTTTCTTTGATTGTTTATTTATAGTACCATTTTGTGCCATTCACTTAAACTGTTTCACCGATATAATGTATATGCGTTTTAATAAAGACAAACGAATGAATCTTTTCTATATCTAGCTTTCTTGTATACTTATATATGACCAAACTCGATTGGCTATCCGAATTTTAGAATAAAACATGGTTCAAGTGAGAGAAGCAAAATCTCGACTATAGTCATTATTGGCTGTGAATATGATAAATCAATTTTTGAGTTGAATATCTGAGTATATTTTGTGGCTGCGATTGGATAAGACCCGGATAGTTCTGGCCTTAAAATTCAGTGAATTGGTAATTTCAAAAAATCTTGTTCGGTTGCAAGTATTACACATTGCAAAATTGCTTGTTAAATTGACCAATCCCGATTCACTGTCTTACCTCCCTAGTTACCGTTGCTACGTCGGACAAGAGAAAATATTGCTTTGATATAGAGCATGGAAAAGATACCGATTGCTGCGAAATGTATGTTTTTTACATTTTCATCAGGAAAAGCTAATTATGATTTTAGAAAAAAATATTCGACTTTGCCTTTTGTTGCCCGGACAGTCTCAATTCCACTGGGAAATTCCACTGGAAAATCCTTTGATTATGTAAATGTCATCACCGATGACGTAATACCTACATGGGTCCGCACACGGGACTGCACATAATATCATTTTGTGTAATTATTGTGTTGTGCTCAAGGCGCACTGTGGACAAATTGTGTGTTTTTGTCAAATCGTATTTGATAATATCTTCAAAAAGAGAATGATTCCTAATAACGGTTTCGCTCACTCGCACATGGATGAAACCTTAATAAAAAGATATTCTTTGTAAATCTATTTTTGAATTCAAGCAAGGGTTTAAAAGAGGTTTTAGTGCGTAGAGCATTTTTCTGTACGAATAACGTCACATAAGGACGTCACCGAACACTTTAGTAAGATCTACGAGAATATTCTGCGAAGTCAACAATCTGTTTAATGACGTTTTGTAGCGCTTTTATATTTCCCTAGCAACTGGAACCGCTGGCCAAGCCAGAAAACCATTTTATTTAGAACTGGTCCTCAGGCATTACGTCACATCTTAAAATTTGAATGGTAGTTAAACCAAGTTCAATGGATTGATTATCAATGCATGTAAGGAATGAATGATATTCATCGCGCTGTAGATCTACTCTCGTCATGTATCCAATAACATAATAAGGTATGGACGTGTACCRCTGATCGTATGCATCGTCGTCAGGTTCTGCCAGTGAATTATTCATGAACCAAGCTGATCTATGTATCATGTTGTTTGCCTTCAGAATAGAGGAATACCGCGCTATTCAGGCAGTGATAATAATAACAAAATATACTAACAATATACTACGGATAATGGACATAAATAAAACAAGCAATCAAAAAAAAAACAAATAATTCAAATAATTACAACAATCAAAATTAAAATATATTTATTTATTCAAAAAGCCTGGGCAATAATAGGAAAAAATAGKCTTTATCAAGAAATTGTGTCAACTTCTAGAAAATTCCAATGAAAATCAGTAGAGATATCATTTTTTTAACTGAAAATCTGTCGTTATTTTACACAGAAATGAATACTGGGGATTATATTTACCCCCAACGGTTTCTTTATTGAGAAATATCAATCACTATGGATGTCAGTGGAGCCACATTATTTTTTTTTGTTTTTACTCTTTTAAGTATTTTAGTGTTTCAGGAAAATATTTGCGTCGGCCATTTTGCAAAGAAGCTATTATAGCCGGTATTGAGAAGCTGTGATAGCCAGTATATTACTGGTATCAATATTAATTCTAAAAGTAAAAGCTTTATTTATTCATCATTGAGGATTTGATTGCAATGTGTCTTCGATTGATGAAATGGAAACCTATGCTGTTGAGCATATATACAGAATAAACGAATTGACAAGTTATTTAAGGGATGTTAATATTCAGTAGTACTAGTATCAATTGTAATAATAATGAAGAAAATAAATGTTGAATATTACTTTTCAATAGTTCCTTATACCTATGAATAAGAATAACATCAAAACTAATCAAAAACATGTTAATACAAAACACAGATGCAACTATTTCAAAGAAGGTTGTCAGTAAAATAGACGAATGCAGGACCGAAAGGCACTATGGGTAATCAACAACTATAACGCGTATTCTCTTATTCGATGACAAACACGAGCAAACTGACTGAAACAAGTAAACAATTTAGCCTTAGAAAAGTCTACATTCTGTGATTTTGCCCTCCAATCCCATATAAAAAAAACACCCATTTAGCAAGAAAGCAAACCAATTAACTGTAGATATCGATGTTCGATAAACTGAATTTATCAAAATCAGATCACCAGAATCAGCTCGTGGTTATGGAGGCACTCGAAAAGTCGGACCAATGGATTGTAAGACCAACGCCATGAAACCCTCAAAAAAGTTTATTTAAAACACTGCTACATGAAAATAGTATCTAAACCATGTAATTGGAYAAATACGTTTTACGGCTTAAGAAAACCAAAATATTTCCATTTCTAGAAGATTGCAATATAGAAATCCGTCCTATTATAGGCTTAGGTTCCATTCTATGTTGACAAATATTACATTTATATACTAATGGACACAAATCCAAAATGAATCTTTATTGAGCCGATGTTATCTGAGAGAGAAATATTGGTCGCGACTTGATTGTGTCTGAATACTGACTCAAAACTCACAATAAGAGACGTGGTTCTTTGTGATTAAAAACTTACATTAAAATCGTCTTAAARGTACTAAAACTAGAGATATCCAACAATCGGTCTGAATTAGTCATCTTTAGGAATATAAATGATTGTGAAGTACCTTACCTTGACAAAGCTAAAGATGAACGTTGTTGCTCTTTCTGATGTCTTGACTAATGAAAAGTAATTGAAACTAGAGTAATGTTTTAAAGTCGCTAGAGTAGCTAAGCACGTGGTGTTTTTCCATCAAAACAGCATTTGATTGGTCAGAATGAAATTTAATTATTTGATTGGCCTAGAGAGGCGTGTGTTCAAGAGCAAAATTTTTCGCCGAAAAATCTTTTSAAACGCGTTCTGATTTCATTGGTTCAAGCTAAACAACCATGTTTCCTTTSTTTTGCATGTAATTTCCCCCTAATTTCTTG